GTGGGGTGGGGTGGGGAAGTCTTTCACACCCCAGGCCACAGAGAGCTCCTCAGTGTGAATGTGAGTCATGCCTCAAAGCCGAAGGCCGTCCTCAGGTCTTGCTTGGGCTTCTCGCACAGGAGGCAGGGTAAGCACACAGAGAACTTTGAGAACACACTCCGGAGTGGGCCCGGGTCGCTCATCCAAGCACACCCATGTGCCAGGGAACGAAGCGAAGAGGCGGTCTTTGTCGCACAGGGAGGTTTGCAACAAGAGCCCAACAAGCACACGTTCTGCACGGATCACAACCCAAACCTAGCACTCTCAGTCGACAGCCCTCAGATCCCGCTACCAAACACGGCAAGACCTCGCCCGCCCCGGGGCTCTGCTTGTAGGACGGAGATGGCCAGGTCATGCATGCTGGGCTAGCAGCTTTGGGCTGGGAAAGAGGCGGAAGGCCCCGCAGGAGAAGAGCCAGGACTCACCGAGGTTTGACGGCCTTGGTCTGCAGGGCCCTTGGCGCAGGGACCGGGGGCGCGGGGTCCGGTGTGGGCTCTGGCTCAGCTTCTGGTTCTGTGAGCTGCACTTCTTCAAAGGGGTTCAGCGACCTACTCCGTTCGGAGACAGTGGCTGGAGGATGTTTCTCGGATTTTCTCACCAGGTCTCTGACAGGCTCTGGCCTGTCCTCCCTTGCTTTGCTCTCCAGGAGCGTGCCTTCCTTCCCCTTGGTGGGAGGGCTCTCACCATCACTGCCCTTGGCCACATCCTTCTTTCCCGTCACCAGAGAGAGCAGAGAGGGCTTCTTGCTGTCCTGCTTCTTGCTCTCCTTGGTTTCTTTGGCAGCCTCTGCGTTCCCCGCGGCTGTGTTGCCCTGGACATCACCGCTGGCCAGCGGTTGGTAGGATGGTAGAGACATGGACTTCAAAGAGTCTTTTGTGGATGGCTCTGAGGACTGCCGGTCAGAAGCAGCTCCACCTGCTTCTCCAGGCTCCTTCCAGGAGCGAGGAGCCAGGTTTTCTGTGGAGGAAAACAAATGCTTCCTCCCGAAGGCCTGGGGGGACGGGGAAGAGGAAGGGGTGCTGTCCTTGGTCTCGCTCTTGGATTCAGGCTGCTCCAGGTAAACATGGTTCCCGTTGATGCAGACATTAGAGCGGGAAAGAGTATCATTCTTGGACCGAAGGCCACCAAGGAAGGAGAGGCCTTCCTTTCTGGGCAGGGTGAAACTGATCTGGGTCAGCTGCTTGAGGTCTGCACTTGCTGTTCTCTTGTGAGTCATCACTGTGGGGAGAAGAACAGAAAATCAAAAGAGAATAAGAAGTTAAACAAGCGGTTAACATCTGGCCGTGGAGAGCTAACTTGTCAATATCTGGCAGGAATATCTGGTCACACCAGTAAAGTGCTACTGGCATCTAGTGGGTGAGGGTCAGGGAGGCTGTTACACATCCAACAATGCACGGCACAGCCCACTGTACCAAAAACTCATTCCGCCTAAATGCCACTGGAGCCGCAGATGAGAAAGCCCGCGTTAAACAACCAAGGACAGCTGGTCAGTAGTAAGGATTTGGTCACTGAAGCTGAGCTTCAAAATACACACTTAATTCAGGGCTAAAGCGCATAAGAAAAAAACCCACTGCCATACAGTAGATTCCAACTTATGGAGCAGATAGCCTCATCTCTTTCCCATGGACAAGCTGATGGGTTTGAACCTCCAACCTTGCAGTTAGCAGCCCCATACTTAACCCCATAGCACCACTGAGGTGCCTTAACATACGATGGGAATTCAGTAAATACCTGAAGTGCTTTCTGTTAACTTCAAAGGCCATCTTAGTTATAGAACTAGACCTTTTTTTTGGGGGGTGGTGGTCATGTACACAAATAATATACACCCATTTAGCAACTTCTACATTTCTACCCTTTTGAACGAAACTCATCGATTCAACTCATGATTAAAATGGTCAGAAAGGGTTCATGGGGCACCAACCACTTCTTATGGTCTCATGACAAAGGAGCCCGTAGTTTATGGAGGCAATTAAGTCAGAGCCTATTTCTGAAAAGTAAACTTTCTTAGAAACAGAGGGCTTAGAAGATAGACAGGGCTTCCTTACCAGGATTAAGATAGCCCACCACCTTCATCATTTTAGTAACTAAGAGCTGAATTAAACCTTGCTCTTAAAGTGTGGGTTGTGTCCATGGACACCCTTGCCGGTGGGCATGTGCGCGTGCACACACACACGCACACACACACGTGCAGCATTTGTTTCTTCCCTCACAGCAAGGCAGGCTAAGTGACGGAAGGAAAGCCCTGTCAGAAGAGAGCAGAAACTCACAGTCCGAGGCAGACGAGGACGCGTCCTCATTGTCGTCGTCCCACTGGGACGGAAAGTCTCCAGGACGCAGCAGCACTTTGTCTGACTTGGAAGTAGGCAGGACGGACATGGACTGGGAGAGCGGTGTCTTATGCAAATTGGACTTGGAAAACAGGGTCTTGATCTTGGATTTCTTCTTCTTGTCTTTTGTGGAAGACTCATCATCGCTGTCCACCGAGGGCGTCAGGCTGGGCACGATGGCGGAGGCAGAATCTGAGGCACCATCCTTATTCTTGCCCTTGATCTTGTCCTTCAGTTTCCCAAACGGGTTCCGAGACTTATCTTTCATGGAAAGGTCAAACATGCTAGCGGTCATGTTGTTTCTCATAAATTGGATATCAACCTCAATTTCTCCTCGCTCCTTATCCTTTTTTCCCGGTTTAGATTTCAAAGCATACCATCTGCAAAGAGAGAAGGCGAAAGTTTGAGAGGTTATCTTTGAACTGAAGAGTCTGAAATCTTTTTTTTTTTTTAATAATGGTAAATATGGATGCATTAAAGCCTTTTTTCACAAAACCTTTTTTCATTAAAACCTGCAACCCCAGCTGGACTCTCGTCTCTGCTGCTACCAACTTTATTTACAAACACACGCACCTGTGCTGTTTTACGGGCCGGTCGGGATGAAGACAGGGGTTTGAGAAGACGAGATCTGGTCTGATGTACTTACTAAAAAAGTACCTAAAATCTGGTTTCAGTAGAGCTAGGTCTAAAAAAATTAAAAATTAATAAAAACTATATTTTGCAAAGATCTGTGTTTTTCTTCAATAGTAGAAATTCAAAGATCACACACAACCCAGAAAATAATGCGCAAATCCGTACATAAAAGCTCAGAGAAGTCAAGAGCTTGTAGTACGGTATGGTCCCTTCTAGAAGCAATGAAATATGTAAGAGGATGATTTAAGAGACAGAGAAAGATGGGGAAAGAAGGCATTCTTCCCTAGCTTAATAATCAGGGGCGAAAAAGAGAGAGCGCGTGCAATTTCAAGCATGGTAGTAAGTATTTCATCTGACCATTCACAAGCTACTTCAAGGTAGGGCAAATGGCATCATTGCCACTGATTGCTTTTAGACCAGGCGAGTGCTAACTGCTGTCTAACCGCTTTGGGCAGTGGAAGCAAAGTGCTTTTCCTTTAAAACATTCCAGGGGGCAGATGGAGAAATGACTTCAAAGATGCAAGCCCGACTACAGGCCAGGCACTTGAAGAAAGCAGGATTCCGTCTTTGGCATTCATTTTCCAGGGGGAATCTGATGCCTTTGGGAAACTGCAAGAATGTGAGCCCGAGTAGCAGCAGCACCATGACAGGACAGGACAGACAGAGCCCACAGTCTCACAAACAGAAGACCTGCTTTCCAGAGTCCCTGCCGGTCACCTAGTTAAGAGCTGAGGGATGTGGGCGTTAAGGAAATGATTTTGTCCAAATCTTCCTCTTTCCCTTTAATACATAGTCTTGCTCACTGCCCCCACGATCTTAGCTCATTCTACACGTACAGAAAGGGGCAGAGGGAGTCCGCTGTACATGGGGTCGCAGGAGAAAGACAGGGCTTCCTACTCCCATAACAGCTAGTCGTGGAACTCACAGGGGCCTTCCACCCTGCCCCTAGTGTCGCTATGAGTCGGCATCGGCTCGATAGCAGTAAGTGTGAGTGGCAGCGGACACTTAAGACATCCTCATTTAAGTCACATAAAAATGATGATGTGGATGGTCTACCTGCTTCAGGATGAAGAAACTGAAGGTCTTAGAAGGTAGGTAAGTTGTACCATGGCCTGAGGGGCACAGCCGAGATTCTCAATCAGCTGGGCCTCTCCAGAGCTCACGTTCTCTCTCCTTCCTCCTCCGTCAGGACTTCTGCTTTGCACCCTCTCTCTTAGCTTCTTACCTAACTTACCTTCCAGGGGTCATCTTTTGCAACAGAGAGATACATTCATTTGGGGGCAAATGTAAGCTTCCAATGGAAATGTCTCAAGATAAAAGCAGAAAGGAGGAAACCACAGAGCTCGCCAGCAGTCAACCTCAAGATTACATAAAGTCCAGTATACAAGGCCATCAGGAAGATCTCAAATTGTTTAAAGCAGTACAGCCACAACCTGATACTATGAAATAAACACCCGTTTTAAACCTGTAGGAAACATCACTTATGGCGTATGGTTCTTAAGACCAGTCTTCAGCTGGAGGGGGAAGATGGGTTGGATGTTGTCTTGTTTTGTTGGGAGGGGGGTGTGTTTTCTTTATGGACAACGTCATGCCCCTACCTCTCTCCCCAGCTTATTGTCCATCCAATATAGTGTCCAGGGCCCAGCCTGGACTCCTTTGCATATTTGTCACTCTGCTGTTGATAGGATTACTTGTATTTTTCTCTTCTTACAGTCATGTGCTAAATGGTAGCCTAGGCGATGAAAGGTTTTTGTAAATACCAATTGTAGGCACGTGAAAAGGGGAAGTGGCTGAAAGCAGAATGCCAAGGCTCAGGTGACTACAGCAGCCTTAGGTCACTGCAAGAGGGGAAAGTGCTTCTCCCACACTTATACTTCTCTGTGCTGTCCTGTTCCAGGTGGGAAGGTCAGCCAGGGGCTACCCCATCAGCTGATCTACACAGCTGCTTCCGCTGGCTACACCTCCCCGCCAGGGATGAGAAGTCACTCTGAAAATAAAAAAGCTCAAAGACACCCCCACCACCCTCAATAGGGCAGGGTCAAACTCCTCCTGTGAGTTTCCAAGATTGTAACTCTTTATTTTAATCATTTTATTAGGGGCTCATACAACTCTTATCACAATCCATACATACATCACTTGTGTAAAGCACATTTGTACACCCATTGCCCGCATCATTCTCTAAACATTTGCTCACCACTTAAGCCCCTCCCTTCCCGCTCCCCACTGTCTCATGAACCCTGGATAATTTATAAATTATTATTTTGTCATATCTTGCCCTGTCCGATGTCTCCCTTCACCTACTTTTCTGTTGTCCGTCCCCCAGGGAGGAGGTCACATGTAGATC